ATTATTATGAGAGTAAAGTCGTAATATTATGAGAGTAAAGTCGTATTATTATGAGAGTAAAGTCGTAATATTATGAGAGTAAAGTCGTAATATTATGAGAGTAAAGTCGTAATATTATGAGAGTAAAGTCGTAATATTATGAGAGTAAAGTCGTAATATTATGAGAGTAAAGTCGTAATATGAGAGTAAAGTCATAATATTATGAGAGTAAAGTCATAATATTATGAGAGTAAAGTCGTAATATTATGAGAGTAAAGTCATAATATTATGAGAGTAAAGTCGTAATATTATGAGAGTAAAGTCATAATATTATGAGAGTAAAGTCGTAATATGAGAATAAAGTCGTAACATTATGAGAGTAAAGTCGTAACATTATGAGAAAAAAGTCGCAATATGTGAATAAAGTCATATTATAAGAATAAAATAATATGCGAATAAAGTCGTAATTTTACGAGAAAAACGTCATAATATTCTAGCCTTTACATGAGAAAACATGCAGTTATCACTGCATTAAAATGAGGAATGTTGAGTAACTTGTCAAGTTGTTCTTTAGTATTACTATAAATAAATAGTTAATCTTTTAGCACATTAGCATCAAATTATCAGTAGCAGGACCTGAAAGTTGCGCAAACGACTATATGATAAACAGAAGCTGTATTGTAATTAATGGATGCACTGACAGATTGAGTCGTCACGTAGTTAATTTGGATGAAAGCATATTAATCTAACAGTGACCTGAGTCATCACTTTATAAACATTAACACGTGGCTGTACACAGCAGGTGTGAGGAAAATAAGGAGGACATGAGGTTGTGTGGCCCTAATACTCTGTTGTAAAAATGAAATGACACACTTCATTCACGCAGTTCTTACCTTGTATGTCAAATATTCATTCAGCTCCTATAAAACAAGTCCTGCTGGGTTTAAACCCCAACAACAGAGGGCAGGGACACTTGATCTTCACCAGAGGTGTCCAGTCCTGCATGCTTTCCTTGTCTCCCTGCTCCAGCACACCAGATTTAGTGGCTGAATTATCTCTTCAAGTTCTGCAGAAACTTGTTAATCAACCATTTAATTAAACTGGAAACCTCTAAAAACTGTTGGTCCTGGAGGAGCAGGACTGGACACACCTGGTCTACGATGTGAATACATAAGCTTCTGCTTGTGGCTGCTGCTGTGTTGATTCCACTTCTTTGACCACTTTATGAATATAATTGCTCTGATCTTCCTCCACTGCCTCCAACCCTTTCTCCTCAAATTCGTCCACGAGCAGCAAAAAGGAAAAGGGTGGAGGCCATGAGGGTGGAGGGCGGGTCGGCGAGTCCCTCGCTGAACTCAGCGGAGGACGACGTGTTGCTGGGCAGAGAGAACTCGCTGCGAGTGGAGGTCCTGCCTGGAGGGGCCTGCCTCGGCCCCGTCAGTGGATCGGAGAGTTCCTTTATGAGCGGTGAGTGTCGCTGCACGGCCAAACAAGAGGAAACAGCCCCAAAACGGAACAGAGGTTTCACCTTATTCACAGTGTCTTTCTTTTTTTTTTTTTTTTTTTTTTTTTTTTTT